TAGGGGTTGTTACCCCACCCTAGAGAATTACCAAACTTAATTTTGAATATATTTTTTTAATTAATATTTTAAATCAAACAACTGTCAAAATTAACTCCAATTGTTGAATGTGAACGATTGTGGGGTGGGCTTTAGTAGTCAGCCGCACCTTGTGTTTTAAGAAAACCAGGAGGAATTAACAAATGAAACTTGGTCAGGATGTTAAGGGAGGTATCCTCTAAAACATGTATAACTAAAAAATATAAACAATATCATTGTTTATGTTATTTGTTGTTAAAATTTTTTAAGTCTTTCCACTTGGTTTCCTTAACCAAAACTGCATTTGTCACATACTTTCATATATATAAATGCACATAACACTGTACTTAATACTTTACACATTCTTATTTTATTTTATCTTGTATATAAATCACTTTAATTCAACTTTTATCGACTTGTAAATTACATTGAATTGCACCCATATTTACAATAACACATGGTTGCAAACTGACACATAACATGTGTTGCCATATTGTACAAAACAATACATACAAAGAAGGCAATGTTTAAAAAGGAATACAAAAGAAAATGAAAATTTACAGCTACTTTTATTCTGGGCGTGTATTATTATCAATGAGGAGTTCCGGTCACGAACCCCTGTGCAAAAATATTGCCCATGACGTAGGCGGTGTTGGTCCCGCCCGATTTGTTTGCTTTAAGTTCGGTCGAAGGCCGCCTACGCAGAAAGGTGTTCTCTGCAAAAGTTGTTCAGCTCCTTTTCTTCGCAAAACAGAAAGGAGAATTCTATTGCCTGAGGGTTATAATCCCTAAGTGCGGCCGAAGGCCGCCTACGTAGAAAGGTGTTCTCTGCAAACGGTGTTCAGCTCCTTTTCTTCGCAAAACAGAAAGAAGAATTCTACTGCCTGAGGGTTATAATCCCTAAGTGCGGCCGAAGGCCGCCTACGTAGAAAGGTGTTCTCTGCAAAAGGTGTTCAGCTCCTTTTCTTGCAAAACAGAAAGGAGAATTCTACTGCCTGAGTGGTTATAATCCCTAAGTGCGGCCGAAGGCCGCCTACGCAGAAAGGTGTTCTTTGCAAACGGTGTTCAGCTCCTTTTCTTGCAAAACAGAAAGGAGAATTCTACTGTCTGAGGGTTATAATCCCTAAGTGCGGCCGAAGGCCGCCTACGCAGAAAGGTGTTCAGCTCCTTTTCTTCGCAAAACAGAAAGTAGAATTCTACTGCCTGAGTGTTATAATCCCTAAGTGCGGCCGAAGGCCGCCTACGCAGAAAGGTGTTCTTTGCAAACGGTGTTCAGCTCCTTTTCTTTGCAAAACAAAGGAGAATTCTACTGTCTGAGGGTTATAATCCCTAAGTGCGGCCGAAGGCCGCCTACGCAGAAAGGTGTTCTCTGCAAAAGGTGNTCCGAATTAAAAATCCCCTTTTATTATTCAAAATTCCAGTCTGGTAGCACCAAGTTGTATGTTATTCTGCTATCTTGTTCATCGTTTATATGAAAACTTTAACAATAAATTATATAAGAACTATAGGGTTGCTAGAAAAAAGGGGGGTATTTTTGAAATCAGGTGATCCTATTCTACCCCCCTCATCACCCTTTTTCTAAAATTAGCCGTCTGTCTACTAAAATTTTCCCGCAATTTCTTAGTTTTTATTAATACGGCCCATTTTATATAAACATTTGAGCTTACAGGGTGTGCTAGACCACCGGTGCACCCCATCCTAACTGTGGAGGAAATGTTGTTTGTTGGAAAACGCAAAAATAAGAACTACCAAGTCGAAGATGCTCTATCTTTTAGTCTTATTACTGACTGAGCGGAAGTAGGATAAAAAGAAAAAAAGGCGCTTCAGGTTAGTTTAACCTACAAGTCGATGATAAAAGAAAGGAAAGAACATCTCCGACTTGGCGATCCTTGGGGGTCTAGGACTCCGTGTATATTACGAATGCTATGGACAGAAGACGAGACCTCATAATAACTTTCGTCTTATGCTGCTTGTCCGTAATGGTAACCAATTCCTGATTTTTTATTGCGCCTTTTTCTCTTCTTCTTAATCAACGTTGTTGTTGTTGTTGTAGCGGCTACGAAACCTCGCTTACGGCGGCTTGTCCATCAGTGTTGTCGTCAGGCTCAGCTAAAGGGAGGCCCAGGAAATGTGCAAGTTCCAGCGGGTCTGTCTATAAGAAGAGGGGCGTTAGCTGGGTGGTGTTTTGAGGGCATGTGAAGAGGTGGCGTGAGCCATGTGACGACTCTCGACGTGCCGAGCACATCTGCGTTCATTCTGCTCAGGTACGAGTTTAGCCTGCTGCAGTAACCAGAGCGAAGTTGGGCTATTGCGGTCCGAGTCTTTCGAGGCAGACAAAGCTCTGTTTCACCCACGTCGGGTGGTTGTGTGCCCAAAACGGCATTCATCTGGAGTCAATATAACTCAAGACCGACTCCCTGTGGATGTCGTTTAGGGCCTGACGGTATGCAGTTTGGTCCAGAGGTTGTTTTATGAGCCGTCAGTTCGTACGGATGCCTCCTAACGTACCTTGGCGAGGGCTCTTCTGCAAGCAGTTGCCTGTTCGGGTGCCCACGTCAGTGGAACCCTAGTAGGAACTGCTTGCAGAGCATTGTGTTATGCTCCTTGATGGGAAGCATCTGGGCTTCGTCATGAAGGTGATGTTGAGGCGATATCAGGAGGCATCCCGTCGCGGTCCGAAGTACCGTGTTCTGGCATGTCTCTAGTTTCGTCCGGCGACCACACGGGCGCAGTATAATTAAGAACCGGCCGGTCAATTGCCTTGAATGTTGCCAACAACGTTTATTTGTCTTTGCCCCAGGTGCTGCGCCGAGAAGAAGGGCAGACTGTCGAAGATAACTCCGAGAATTTTTTGGTTATTCACTGTCGGAATTGGTTCGACAACGACGTGAATACCCAGCTGCAGTCTGACCTCCGTCCAGGTGGCAGAAAGGGTTGCCGAGGATTTCGTAAGGTAGAGGGTTAGACTACTTGCAGTGAAGAACCGAGAAAGTTCGGAGAGGTAACCCTTTACATTTAAATACAAGTCATTAATTCCATTCCATATGCAATTATTTGTATTGTATTGTAATTTATTGCAGTCATATGAAACAGACGTTCCTTACAGACTAGAGATAAAAATTTAGTTACTTAGACGATACGTGTAAAACATAAAGCACTCTACAGTTTCGAGATCAAAGATAAAATAAATAAACTTTTTGAAAGAGAAAAATCCAGTTCGATAGAATTCGAGATCGTGTTGAATTTGTTTAAAGCCCTTGAAATAGGAGCATTTCTGGCATACTCCGTTTTACGATTTCCTCCATAAAACGGCAGAGGATTGCGAACATTCCTTAGATGAACATTGAAGTTGACCTGCTCTAGGAGCGTAGGGCAATCGATCACACCATTTATTAAGTTAAAGGTAAAAGTTAGAGATAGCAAAGATCTTCTGGCTTCCAGAGATTTAAGGTCTATTAATAGCAAACGAGACTTATACGATGGAATAGGCTCGCTGAAGTTAAGATTATGGCCTCCAGAGGTATGGCCTCCAGATAAAAGAAGCATATTCTGACTTAGAACGAACGAAAGATGTGTATAACAATTTAAGTGTATAGGGGTCAGAGAACATTGAGCTCTGACGCCTGAGAAAACCAAGTACAGCGTAAGATTTAGAAATGATGTGACTGATATGACTGTTAAAAGACCAATTAGAGCTGAAAATTACACCAAGGTTTTTGA